GGTCCTCCTTTGTCTCGGATGATTTTGCTGCACAGACAGTTTCACTCTTGGAGAGATCCCCGGAGGGAAACTTGATGCTGTTGTCATCATCGTAGACATAGTTTGTGAGGCCTTGCATGTGATCTTGTCACATTGAGGTGTGTGCTCGATGGTCATGTAGAGGTTCCGCATCTGACTGATGCTGAGGAGGATCGGTACAGTTCCTTGTTCAAGGACGTCGATGTTGGTACTGCATGGAGGAGTTGTGTGATATCGAAGATGCAGGGTCCAATTTACCCTGGCGGTCTCTCCGTTTGCAAAAGTGAACTTGGTCTCGGCCGGGATGTACTGATAGGAGATGATGTCCTTCATTGGTTCGATGGCCTGAGTAAAACGCTGGATTGCATGCCAGCTGCCCATAGATCTGGTACATCCATTGTCCAGAATCGCATAGGTCGGATTGTGCTGAGGGTTGATGACAGGCGCCATCAGCTTTGTTGCCAGAAGGCTGTGATTTGTTGTGACGGACAGATTGTGTTCTGAAACTGTATCTGATTGGATCAGCTTCTCGTGGATGGCCTTTTTCCCAGGATGCTCATATGCATCATGGAATGCCATTAACGCTTGTCCTGTGCTGGATGTCTCATGGGATGAGTACCAGCCATGTTCGTTCCATGTCCATGATTGATCCCAATCTTGGTCTGTCCAACCGGCATAGGTAGGCTCTGTGGATGGTGCAGTCTGCTGGATGGCGGGCTGCTCCTCCGTCTTCTCTGAGGTGGCTGCGAACGTTTTGGACTTTCCTTTGTCATGTCCGCCCTTTCCTTTGCCATTCTCATAGGATGGATAACCTTTGTTTCCATCATAGGGATATTGGAATTTTGATTTTCCTTTCTTTCCCTTCTTTCCTTTGCCTTTTCCCCAATATGCCTGGTCGTAGGGATCATAGTTTTCATTGGCCATATTGGCCTTCCCGCCAGAACCGCTTTTCCGAAAGGGTTTGAAGCCACCTCGTTGGTGACTGCCCTTTTTGTTTCCTGATTTTCCTTTTCCTTTTCTCTTCTTGAATTTGAAGTTCCGCCCCGACACTTTCCTTGCTATGAACGCATCGTTCTCCTCGAGGACCCAGAATGTCTCTTCGTCGTTGTTTGACATGAATCCTTCAAGTCCTTCTTCATCCTCAACCCAGCAGCCTTCTTCTCCTTCGTATTCACCGTGCTCGGTGATGAAGAAAGTGTTGCTTCGGTTGCCTCCTTGAGGTCGGATGGATGGATCTTGAATGGATGTTCTGGTCGTGATGAAGAGTTCATGGTAATGAGTCTTCAGCATCTCATAGGAGTAGTTCTCTAGTGAAATGTTCCTGAGTGACATTGCACTTGTCAGTCTTTCTCTCTGCTGATCTGACAATTCACTCTGTGTGATGAAAAACTGCGCAATGAGATTATCCCCGAAGGGAAATGCGTCCCGCTGTCTGTCCTGCATTCCTTGGATATACTGTCTGAGGACTGTCGGATCGTCCTCATTGAGCAGGGCTGGAGGCGGTGTTCGAACACCGGCTGCTTGCTGATGTCGAGCAATTGTTCTTGCATTTGCGTCCTGTACGGACTGTCGAAATGATGGGGACTGTGCCGTAAAGATTGGCATCAAGCCCATCCATGCTGCCTTCAGTCTCATAAGAAGGATCTTGAATTTTGAGGTAAAAATGAGGAACTCTTGGTTCTGCCTTCGATGATTGAAGAAACTGAGGAGCCTGTAAAGATACACGTTGGTCGCACCTTTCAATAAGTACTTCTTCAGCGTGTTCTTGAAATAGTTGACTCCTTCATCAGGATCTTGCAAAAGGTCATTGTGGAGGACGGCCTTGTACATGTAAGCATCTCCAGTGAGTCTGCTCTTAAACAATGGACCTCGCTTGGATGCTTCTACTGTGGTGATGGTCACCCAGTCGTCCACAAGTTCCTCGTACCTGAACCAGCCGACTTTTCCGTCGTACGATGGCGGCTGCTTGGCGGTCATCGATAAATTGAGTGTTTCCGCCATACTTGAATAGGCTTCCATGAAGCCTTCTCCATCGGATGACATCTTCCCTTGGATCTCTGCGGAAAACCTGCTCCGCTACCACAAGTTGAGGCCCACTGCCGGGGTGCCTATCCCCGAAGCGAACTGGTACCCTTGTGGTAGTTGAGGTCGTTGATTTGGTCCCTAGATCTATTCCGGAGAGAGTCCAATATGCCAATATGGATGATTGGAGGATGGATTGTCCCTGGTGCATTGTATTGTGATATAATCCTGTAAGCGGCCTGCAAAGGTTCCTTTGTCACGTGATCATGAGTGTGCTATGATACTGAAAAAGGGCCTTGAGCCAAATGGGAGATCAATTGTGTAACAAACCAAACACATGGGGTTGGGGTGGGGTTGGGGTGGTGGTTGGGGTGGGGGTTGGAGTGGGGGTTGGGGTGGGGGTTGGGGTGGGGGTTGGGGTGGGGTTGGGTGGGGGTTTGGGGTGGGGGTATTGGGGTGGGGGGGGTTGGGGTGGGGGTTGGGGTGGGGTTGGGGTGGGGGTTGGGGTGGGGCTGGGGGTAGAGGATTGGGGTGGGGGGTTGGGGTGGGGGGTTGGGGATGGCCGGTTGGGTGGGGGTTTGGGTGGGGGGTTGGGGTGGGGGGGTGGGGAGGTTTGGGGTGGCGGTTGAGAGTATGGGGTTGGGGGTTGGGGTGGGGGGTTGGGGTGGGGGTTGGCGAGGGGGGTGGGGGGTGGTGGGTGGGGTGTGTGTTTGTGTGTGTGTGTTTGTGTGTGTGTTTGTGTGTGTGTTGTGTGTGTTGTGTGTGTTGTGTGTGTTGTGTGTGTTGTGTGTGTTGTGTGTGTTGTGTGTGTTGTGTGTGTTGTGTGTGTTGTTAGTGTTGTGTGTGTTGTGTGTGTTGTGTGTGTTGTGTGTGTTGTGTGTGTTGTGTGTGTTGTGTGTGTTGTGTGTGTTGTGTGTGTTGTGTGAGTTGTGAGTGTTGTGTGTGTTGTGTGTGTTGTGTGTGTTGTGTGTGTTGTGTGTGTTGTGTGTGTTGTGTGTGTTGTGTGTGTTGTGTGTGTTGTGTGTGTTGTGTGTGTTGTGTGTGTTGTGTGTGTTGTGTGTGTTGTGTGTGTTGTGTGTGTTGTGTTGTGTGTGTTGTGTGTGTTGTGTGTGTTGTGTGTGTTGTGTGTGTTGTGTGTGTTGTGTGTGTTGTGTGTGTTGTGTGTGTTGTGTGTGTTGTGTGTGTTGTGTGTGTTGTGTGTGTTGTGTGTGTAGTGTGTGTTGTGTGTGTTGTGTGTGTTGTGTGTGTTGTGTGTGTTGTGTGTGTCTGTGTGTCTGTGTGTCTGTGTGTCTGTGTGTCTGTGTGTCTGTGTGTCTGTGTGTCTGTTTGTCTGTTTGTCTGTGTGTCTGTGTGTCTGTGTGTCTGTGTGTCTGTGTGTCTGTGTGTCTGTGTGTCGTCTGTGTCGTCTGTGTGTCTGTGTGTCGTCTGTGTGTCGTCTGTGTGTCTGTGTGTCGTCTGTGTGTCTGTGTGTCGTCTGTGTGTCTGTGTGTCTGTGTGTCTGTGTGTCTGTGTGTCTGTGTGTCTGTGTGTCTGTGTGTCTGTGTGTCTGTGTGTCTGTGTGTCTGTGTGTCTGTGTGTCTGTGTGTCTGTGTGTCTGTGTGTCTGTGTGTCTGTGTGTCTGTGTTTCTGTGTGTCTGTGTGTCTGTGTTTCTGTGTGTCTGTGTGTCTGTGTGTCTGTGTGTCTGTGTGTCTGTGTGTCTGTGTGTCTGTGTGTCTGTGTGTCTGTGTGTCTGTGTGTCTGTGTGTCTGTGTGTCTGTGTGTCTGTGTGTCTGTGTGTCTGTGTGTCTGGGTCTCTGTGTGTCTGTGTGTCTGTGTGTCTGTGTGTCTGTGTGTCTGTGTGTCTGTGTGTCTGTGTGTCTGTGAGTCTGTGTGTCTGTGTGTCTGTGTGTCTCTGTGTCTCTGTGTCTCTGTGTCTCTGTGTCTCTGTGTCTCTGTGTCTCTGTGTCTCTGTGTCTCTGTGTGTGTGGTCTGTGTGTGTCTGTGTGTGTCTGTGTGTGTCTGTGTGTGTCTGTGTGTGTCTGTGTGTGTCTGTGTGTGTCTGTGTGTGTCTGTGTGTGTCTGTGTGTGTCTGTCTTTGTCTGTGTGTGTCTGTGTGTGTCTGTGTGTGTCTGTGTGTGTCTGTGTGTGTCTGTGTGTGTCTGTGTGTGTCTTTGTGTGTCTGTGTGTGTCTGTGTGTGTCTGTGTGTGTCTGTGTGTGTCTCTGTGTGTCTCTGTGTGTGTCTGTGTGTCTCTGTGTGTCTCTGTGTGTCTCTGTGTGTCTCTGTGTGTCTCTGTGTGTCTCTGTGTGTCTCTGTGTGTCTCTGTGTGTCTCTGTGTGTCTCTGTGTGTCTCTGTTTGTCTCTGTGTGTCTCTGTGTGTCTCTGTGTGTATCTGTGTGTCTCTGTGTGTCTCTGTGTGTCTCTGTGTGTCTCTGTGTGTCTCTGTGTGTCTCTGTGTGTCTCTGTGTCTCTCTGTGTCTCTCTGTGTCTCTCTGTGTCTCTCTGTGTCTCTCGCCGGCCGCGGCGCGGCGCCCCCCGCAGCGCCCCGGCGCTCGCCGCGCGCGCGCCGGCGCGCCCCGCGCGGCGCGGGGCCCCCGGGGCGGCGCGCCCCCGCCCCCGCGGCCCACGCGCCCCCACGGCGCGCTCCCACGCGCGCGCCCACGCCGCGCGCCACACGCGCGCCCACGCGCGCGCCCCACACGCGCGCCCACCGCGCGCCCACACGCGCGCCCACACGCGGCAGCCCCACAACGCGCGCACGCGCGACGCTCACACGCGCACGCCCGCACGCGCACGCGCACGCGCGCACGCGCACGCGCACGCGCACACGCGCACGCACACGCGCGCGCACGCACGCACTCACTCACTCACTCACTCACTCACATACATGTATGTTTTTGAGAATTGTCACGTCCAGCCAAACGGAGGTTATGTAGACAAGCACCCATCTCAGCCTGGCCAGTTCCAAATACTGTGGGCAGGCTCTGGCGAACGTCAACAAGCAGCACTGGTCGAATCTTGGACAGAAAGCTTGCTGGGGAATGCCGTGCTTTCACACAGGACGTGCCAAGCAAGGACTTTCGTCAGCAGCTTGTGCTTCGACCAGCCCTTGGAATTCAACCAGGCCAGCACGACCAACCCCACCAGCTACCGATGTTTCGATCCACGTGCAGGGAGACGTGGGGGTTGCTGGCGGCATTCAGATCACAGAGCCCGCCAGCGAGCATCTGGTTCTCAAGGCAGCCTTGTCACATCCGTGTTTCCGGAGTTGCCCCCTGCGTGCTTTGAGGATTCCATCTTGCGCTTTGGCGGGTCTTGCTCCATGGAGCTTGAATGGCCCGAAGAGGCTAAGAAGAGTGCCAGCTTCAGTTAGTGCACTCGTTGCCCAAGGGCAGCGCGTTGGCAGCAAGTGGGGGGAAGCGGTTCATCAACTTTGCGCCAAGGCGAAGATTTGGACAAACTGACCAAGATAGAAAAGTTGGCCAAAAAGGTTCTGCGTCGAGTCGCTCAGGACTAGCTGACTAGAGGTTTGGAGCGGTGTGCGTTTTCTCGAGCCATTCGGCATGCAGGAGGCCAGGAATGGAAGGACCTCCAAGGGATCCAACCAGGGACACGGGCCAGGACGGCCAACGACGGCCAACCACTGCCTTGCAATTCAACATGCTTATGCGGCTGGAAGCTTTCTCGCTAGACACTTGCAACGCAGGGACCAGTTCAGTGAGTTCTGGCCAGAATGAGAGTCGCGCTGGGATGCAGCGACCCCGGAGCAAAAGGTCATGCGACTGCAAGCCTTGCTCGAGCTGAGGTCCTTGGCTGATGACTAGTGCGCCAGAGGCTGGCGCTTGCATTCTGTGTCAGGCATGCTTATACGGTTCCCAGGTGTGCAAGCGTTTCACCGCCTGCATCTGTAGCAGGGAAGGAACAAAGCAACTGGATGCAAAAAGGCCACACACGATTCAGGTGATACAGCTCCAGTTTCCCAGTCTGTCCATCGTAGAGCTTTTACTGAGGCTGGGCATGCCCTTCCAGCAGTTACAATCGCGTTTCGCCGAGCGCTTAGCCGCTTTTTTGCTGATGCATGAGCACCTTGCCAATGCAAAGGCGGGCAAATGGGACATGCTGTTGGCACCGTCGTGATGCAAGCTAATCCCCGCAACAGCATCACAGAGGTGCAGCTCATGGAGCGAGTGCAACAGGGAGGTCTCGACCAGATGTTGCCACTTCAGCGTGGTTGACGCAGAGCTCGGATCGAGTTCGAGTTGGGATTGCTGATTTCTTTTGGTCTCATTTGGGTCAATTGTCGGCGACTTGCGCTTCGGGTCGCGGTGTCGTGATAAGTCAAGACGGTGTTGCAGCCAGGCATGTCACGCGCCCGCAGCTCTTTAACGGGTCGTGGATGCGAGACGCCTTTACCTGAGATTTTCAGCACTGCCAGGGTCAAGTAGTCAAGTGTCAAGTGTGTGGAAATGGACCGAATTCGGAGCCTTGCGAAGGTTTCCACTCACCAACAGCTGCTGGGTCCAGGCCTCGTGCTCCAGGCAAAGCATTGGTCGCGCGAAGCATCGGTGCTGTCAGACTAAGGCCAGGCGCTGAAGTATGTCCCGGGCCCGGAGGTTTGCCTCCGTGTGTTCAATCTGTTTGGCGCCCAGGACGAGGCTGGCCAGGCTGACCCGTGATTTGGCAGAGCTTTGGCCAAGGTTGCACCCGCCGAAGACATTTCCCAGTGTTCAGGGGGACGAATGCCGGAGACTTTGGCTTTCAACGCATCTCATCAGACAGGCACATGTTATTCTTTGCCTTTCCCCCCAGCCGGTTCTTACTGAGGTGCAATCATGTCATATTATGACGAGCCCAAGCGAGCCTGGCAAGGCCAGCGCGAACACCCAGGCAATTGTTGTTTTGCACTTACGCGCCAGGAGCGGACGACCCAGTTGGCCTCGGCCTGGAGGATCATGTGTCAAGTGACGCTTTCGTTGCAATGCACGGCAGGTCCTTGCGACGGGTTTGAAATTGGAAATTCACCAAGCACGAATTTCCTTCTCTGCTCTCAAAGCCGCGCATGGGAGGAACAGCACAACACGCAGAATACAGGTTCACCGCTGAAACTGTACTTGTTTGAGGTTGGTCAAGGAATCTGGGATATTAGCATGCATCAGGACAAAAAGCTGTACGGACACCACATTGACACGTTATGACCAGTTGCAGCCTTGCTTTTCCTGACTGGCTTGCAACACCTGGAATGATGTGGCTCGCACTTGGCTTGCTTGGGAAGCTGCCTGTGCTTGCTTGACTGCAGCACGCGGGACAGCCGACTGTTATGTAATTCGTCTGCATTGCGGCCTTTCAGCGATTAGATGCTCTCGGGATCTTTCATGTACACCATGGTGCGAGTGCTTTCTGAGCTGGTCTCCAAAGAGCATTGAGATTTGTTCTATTCCTGGCCCAATCCAGTCAGATCCCAGCTCTCACATCGGCTGTATGTTACGTTGTTTGATAGATTTTCAGCATGCTAGCTTCGACAATTGGACGAGTGCATCATTATGTAGCATTCATTGTTTTTAAGATGGCCTCAAATCCGTCCATGTCTAGTTGAAATGCAACCGAGGAGCATTCGGAACAGGCACTTGACCCTTGCATTGTTCGCAACAGCCACGAACATCGCCCCCAAGATGCTTTTGGCTGGAGTCGTTCCCGCCAGGACGATGGTATCACCCATGGGCGCAGGGCAAGCCGCCCAGAATTGTACACATGGCATGGCTTGGTGCTTGGCCGGGTGGATTCAGTAGTGCAAGAAATTGAAGCTGAAGCAAATCTGCGAAAGACAGTGTCATCTCAATGCATACATGTGAACAAAGAACCCACAATGGAAACACACTCACGTGAATACGAAGACAGAGGAAGATATAATATATTGTGATTATAGCCATGTGTTCAGGTGTAGGCGTGTCGCGATGGTGACTGCCCTGTGACATTTGGCTCAAGTTTGTTCGGTTCTGTCGTGGCCTCGAATGGGCGTCGCCGGACCCTTGCGTCGACCGACGGGATCTTGGGGGAGAAAGAGACCTCAGGCTGCTGTTAGGTTGGTGCGGCCACTCAGTGCGGTTCTTTGTCGGCCAAGGCCGCTGGTAACCTTTTCTCTTTTGGGTTGTTTACTGTGGTTGTTTGGTCACTGGTGTGTGGGAAACCCTGATCTTTGGGACCGGGGATTGGTTACTGTTTTGGGGCCTTTCTTTTGTGGCTTGTTTACCCCAACTAACCCATTGCCTGGGCACAGGTCCGTGCCCGAATCACAGGTTATTAGCCGTAGGAGTTTCCTGCGTGCTCGTGACCTACAACTACAAGCGCTATGACGTCGACCCCATGGAGCTCACGAAGCGTCGTGGATGAGGAGACCATTTTTGGTGGCCCCCAAGTAGGTGAGGATGTGCCGGACTACGTCTACGAGGATTTTGAGGAGAGTTTGGCAGGTGGCGGTCGCATGGGTGATGCTCCATAACATAGGGACACACCTCGCGAGCGCGGCAGGTTTGTTGACGACAGTGATGCCGAGTGTTTCGTCAGGTTACTGATGATGAGCAGTCCGAGCTCGCTCCGATAGGGGCGGCTCCGCAATGATTCCAGGTCAGGCTTCATCAGCTTTGCGATGAACATTGGAAGGTCGTCTGGCGGTTTCGAGGAGCCTCATCCCATTCGGCCACCGAGGTCTCTTGAGCCCGGTCAGTGCGGAGCCGAGGTCATCAAGGAGGACATCAATCGAGGACAGGATTTCCAGGGTCAGTTGACGCGAGCTCCGGGGCCGCTATGTTGAAATCCAGAATCCTGGACAGGTTGGTGAGAAGGAATCTCTTGGACCGTCAGGTATGAGTTTCATTGATATCTTGCAAACTACTTCGGGCTGGGCGTTAGCCGCATGTCCAAGTTGGCTGCCGATAGGCAGGTCAGAGTCGGATGCGGCACGTATGGATGCTGTTGATGAACAGGAGGATATCTCCCGTAGGAGGGCGAAATTCCGAGAGGCCGCTAGGCCTAGGAGCTCGCCACCCGACATCGCAGGTCCAAGCAGCCCTGATGAGGATCGGGATTCTCGTTCGCCTAGAACCAGGATGAGGTCAACAGCATGTCGTTAGGCCCTCCTGGAATTCCCAACCTTCGGGGGATTGATGTATGGCTGGAATGAGACTGGTCCCCATGGTATCAGAAGCCCGTTAGGGCGATGGTCCAATGCTGGATGCAGCGGATGTCCACATACACTCAACTCCTGAGCCTCGGAGGTCCGACCGTGCGTCCGCTACCGGCGTATTCGATGAACCAAGCGTGGACGGAGGAGCGGTGTCAGGTCAGGGAAGATCTAGGGCGCCCAACTGAGGAAATCGAGGGTTTGTCTGACGCTAGTTGAATGCGAATGATTGTCCAGCAGTTTGCACGGGAGGTTATTCCTGACACTCAGCAGTTTGTTAGGCCTGCGATCGATGAACAGGACATTGCGGGCGACGCGAAGTTCAACAATGTGTTCTTCGAGATGCAAGGCTCCGTTAGGAGGCTTGAAGATGGTGAGCTGGTGCAGGAACGAGTCAGGACTCAGCACCTTGCGATGCACCTGGGACAGCGCGGAGGATGAGATCAATAAGGCGATTGGGGAATTGGAGAACCGGGTTTCCTTCCTGGCTTCTCAGGGTCTCTCCGCAGTTTCAAGGACCGTTAGGGCCTCGGAAGGACATGCTGAGGAATCAGTTCAAGACTTGACGTCGAGGCTCTTGACTCTCGAGAAGGATGCTGAAGGCCATCATGTGTGGACCATGAAGAAGATCCAGAAACTCGAGGATGAGGGCAAGGCCGCTGTGCATGGAGAATGTCATGCGGGACAGAAAGGCTTTGCAGAGAGACTTCGATGAGCTCCGTTCGGAGGCTAGGTCTTCGGATGACCGTGGGCTGGCTGTTCGCCCCACTCAGCTCAGACAGCTCAGGGAAGAGTTGGTCGCTCGTGAAGTGCATGAGATGATTCAGGCGGTTCACAGGAAGGTTGACGCCAGTGCCACGCACCATGGAAGGGGTACTCAGGGCCCTGAGAACACAGCTTCGAAACATGCCGACTCGTCCTAGGCGGCAGGAGCTTGTCCACTAAAAAGGCTCAAATAACGTTCGAAGGATCGTTGAGGTCGAGAATGATCTTGACAACTTGAGGGAGATGGGTGAGGACACGCAGACAAGGGTGCTGGCTCTTGACAGACCAAGGTCGCCGTGTGAGATCACCCACACCTACTCTCCTGACCGCGCCAAGCGGGGCGCGTCAAAGCTGAGGCAAAAGCACAGACTGGTGCTGGTCTACGATCTGTTTCGCCCAGCGTCTCAAGCGGGATTTGATCGGACGTTCGTCCGAGCAGGCGAACCGTGTCTCCCGTTAGGGAAGGGGATCGTTCACACTCTCCGCCAAGAGTCGCCAGGAACCTGCAGGGCAAAATGGAGGAGGGTCTGAAGCCCGATCCCGCGATAAAGAATCGAGTCGAACGGGTACGTTGCGCGAGTTCCAGGTTTCCTGTTAGGGACGAGAGGCAGTCACCAAGTCAGACAGGCAGAGCCCGCGATAGCGGAGACGCCACCTGATACAGGCACCGAGGCAGGGAACGGTGGGCAGGCTGGTGGTCCTGCTTCTTCCGCAGCTCTGAGAAATTCTGGAGAGCTGATGAGATTTGCTCGAACCCAACAACAGGAGGCATGACTGTGTCATTTGTGAACGAAGATTCTGCGTGTCATGCGTGGGGGATGATGGATTGTCAGCTCTTGAGGATGATTGCCGCAAGAGTGCGCAGGTATCATTGCACTGACTCCGGGAAGCAGATATGTGACTCACATGCATTCTCGGACGGGCGGAACCGGTGCACCAAGTGTCACCGGGTGGCCTCGATTGACCAACCTCTCGTCCCATGCGTTGGTTGTGGGC